CCAAAATGACCGCGAGAATCATCCCCCCAACAAACATTGTGGATTTGGCTATAAACCACAGGAATATTTTGAGGCCATATGCTGCAGCTTTGTCTTCATCAAGGAGCTCTGACACTGACAACATACTCCAACAGCCGAGGCTTGCAAAAAACAAAATCCTGGTCTCTTTCACATTGTTCATAATAGTGAAGGACATAAAACTGAAGATAGTGGCCAAGAACATCCAACCACTCAAGAGAGTGAAGACGACCAACCACAGTAGTAAGTCAGTCATCCAACAAAAAGTCACCAAATTCATATTTATTTCGTATTATGAGATTATATTTCGTATTATGAGATTATGAGAATCTTGAATCCTCATTCAAGAACCAGAAAATGCCATGGGCAGACACGATCTACTGTAGTTCGTGATCGTGAGGGCAAGAATTTACCGAGTTCGAACTATTCTACGAAGTACTTACGTACCGTACTATTCCTACCTGTATCTGAAGCAGAAGAACCTCAATCTTGATCTTACCGCACGAGTCAAATTGAGTCGTTAAAACAAAGTTATCAACTTTGAATCGAAGTTGTCAACTTTGAATCAAGGTTGTCAACTTCCGGCCCAAGTTGCCAACTATTCTACGTAGGCGTAAGTATATCCAGTACTAGCCCCGCTAGGGGCACGCCGGCAGGTCAGCAGCTGCTGATCCAGCTGGATCAGCTGCTCAGCGAGGAGGAGCAAAATGATCTATTTGGATGGATCCTAGTACAAAGCTGTGTAGAAAATCCTGTAGAAAATCGTGGATCAAGGGTCAAAATGGAAGGGTTTTGATTCCGCGTTCAAAATCCTACTGTCTCCTAGTGTCTTTACCTGAAAACTTCCCTCCAGCACGCTAGAACTGTTCTTTTCATTCATTCTAAAAAAACTAACCGGTTCAAAGCAACCGACCATGGGAATCACTTTATTCCAAGCACTTCCACTCGCTCTTTCTTACTGTACTTGGTATCAATCGATAGCTCTCTTCAATTGTCGATTGAACAACCCCTTAACTGTAGCAAAGGACCCAGTAGAAGTACTGTTTTAGTGTGTTACAGTAGCGACTCTTATTTTACGACAACTGCTTCTTTTTTCACCGACGTCGGCAATCAGCAATGTAAAATAATACTTATCATACTATCGCATAATCGCGTTGTCGTGCAACTACAGTATCATATTTATGGTACCTGGTGGTAAAATATTGTATT